GACTAACATGATACTTCATTTATGAAGATAATTTCTACTTAATAAAATATAAGGTAATTCAATTAAAACTTAACTTTATTTCAAAACGAATTTAATACTTAGATTATATTAGTACTAAACATGGGTGGATGTCGGAAAGGACTGGGCTGGAGCCAACCTAATTCACTTTTTTTTGTAATAAAAAAAAATTAAGTAAAAACAAATTTTTTATGCTTAATTTTTTTTTTTTTTTAAATGTATTAGCCTGGATTAAAAAACTTTCTGAGTCCGCCCTTAACGGAGTCTGTCTTACAACAAATACTTTTCTTGAATTATTTTGCCTTCATCATCCAAAAATAGCTAAGGATAACGTGGAATGAGATAAATACTTGTCTTGAATTAAAAAAATTTATTTCTTGAAATTTCATATATGTTTATGGGTACTCAAATATCATGTTCACATAATGACAATTTAGATAACACGTTTATACATTTAATCATGTCACGTAGGCATGAAAATGAGGGAAGGTTTACTTGAAATTCTTAGGAAAATTTACTCTTAGAACAAGTGCAGATATCCTAGCCGTCCATGAAGTCAGCGTGCCCAANNNCGTCCATGAAGTCAGCGTGCCCAAAATCCTAATTCATTACCATTGATTAAAAGCAAACTTCTACATACTCCTAGATTATCTGTTATTATATTAGATCGATTATATAAAACCTATCATGAGCACCATATATGCAATATGATCAACAAGTAAATATATGCATAACCAAAACTATGTGTCGGCATAAGAAGAATTGGTTTCTAAATGAATTTAAAGGGCCATGGTAAAATCTCTATCGATTTGCTCATGTTTGGCATTATAATTATAATTAATTGTCATGTGATACGTCTAGGGCGTCCGAGTTGTAAATTGCAAATTTAATCAAATTGTGGGTATTTTAAGTTTAGAAATACTAAGCATGTCGACGGTTTGGGATGTAAAAACATAGATAAATGGCAACACAATAATTAAGAATTAGATATAACACTAGGCGAACATGATAGATATGAGCAACAAATACAAAAAAAGAAAACGTAATGTTACAATTATAATGTCTCGAAAAAATAACATCAAAATATATTGTCTGACCATAATGATTAACTCGTGTCAACGGATCGAAAATCAATGTCCCATTTCCATTTGTGTTCCATGTAGTTTCAAAAATAAATACATCGCCAACAAATTTATTTGTTCGCCTCGATCAAGAATTAGTCCAAAATATGGAATCAATCTTTTTTCATTGTGTTCATCATAATCAAATTAAAAATCTGAATTTTATTCATTCTCTAATGTAAATAATTCAATCAACAACTCAAGACAATACCCTTCAGACACTTGCCTACAAATTATTATATTATCTCTTCATACTGTTTTCCTCATAAGACTGAACGTGTGCTGTATTAACATATTGGAGTGTTTGCTTATATTGTACATTGCTTGCTGGCTGATATCATATGTGATCACACGTGGGTTCTGTAGCTTCTGGATTGGAGATTATGCGATTTAGATCCGAACCAAGTTGCAATTATTTGGAAATTGACATCGTATCACATTGCCTTCAGGGGTTATATATGGGAGTATTATTCAGTCCAAAACTATAGGCTATTTTCTCATCTACAACTTATAAGCAAAATATCAAGATTAAGACTGCCATGGCTTCCAACACCACCAAAGAAGTACTCCACGATCTCTCTCCTTTTCTCGTAGTCTACACAGATGGAAACATCGAGAGATTCTTGGTCACATCTAATCTCCTGCCGTCACCGGAGGACCCAACCACTGGCGTAGCCTCCAAAGACGTAATAGTCATTTCACCGGAGGTTAAAGCCAGACTATTCCTACCAAAGCTGACAGACTCCAACCAAAGACTCCCCGTTTTAGTCTACTACCATGGCGGTGGATTTATCGTCGATTCTCCCTACTGCTTGAACTTCCACCGTTACATGAACCTTTTAGCCGCAGAAGCGAAAGCTCTAATCATTTCTGTTGAATACAGGCTCGCCCCTGAACACCTTCTACCCATAGCCTATGAAGATTCATGGACTGCCCTTCAATGGGTGGCGTCTCACGTTATTGCAAATGCTAGTATCGAAAAGGATCCATGGGTTGTTAAACATGGCGATTTTGGTCATCTGTATATCGGCGGCGATAGTGCAGGTGGCAATATAGCACATAATATTGTTCTCCGAGCTGGAGTGGAGCCTTTGCTCGGGGATGTGAAAATCTTAGGTTTGTTTCTATCTTGTCCTTATTTCTGGGGATCAAAACCAGTTGGGTCGCAATCAAAAGAAGATTTGACTGGTTTTGCATATAAAGCTTGGATGTGTGTTTATCCATCAGCCGCCGGTGGGATTGACAATCCGATGATCAATCCATTTACAGAGGACGCCCCGAGCTTATCCGGGCTGGCGTGTTCAAGGCTGCTGG